GCGGTGTTTGTAGTCAGACGCTGCCGTGCCGGGAACGAGTGTCAGGTTGCGCTCTGTGCCTATGGGGGGTGGCTGCAGGGCCCTTCTTTCCGGAGACAAAAGTCTGCAAGTGGCTCATTTCTGTACCACTCACTGTACGCACGACTTGGTTCTCGTACGTGAGCATGCAGTTTTCTGTATGTCATGCCATAAGAAATCGGTTTGGGTTTTTCTTGGGGGTTTTTGGTTGGTTTGTTTTGAGTGGGGGGATCTAACTTGCTGTTTGATCCTCTTACGTTGCATTATTTGAAGGGTGTGCAACCCTCTACTTTTTTTTTTCTTTTCTACGCATATTTCACAAGTTAGCTTTGGATAAATTTGCTGTTTTGTGTATTGTTGCTGTGGCAGCTTAATAAGGAAGTAAAAGGTACTTTGTGCTTTCTTTAAAGGAAAACTTAACGTCGGTGTTGACACAATTCAGCATGGGGTAGAAGGACTAACGTATCTTCTCACTGAAAGCTCCAAGCTTATGGTAAGGATACCTTTGTGAAATGAATTCAGGGATACACTCCAGAGGTGTCTTCTAAACACTTACAGCCCCGAAAATACTGATGAATGGAGAAAACCTCGTTCAAAATTCTGATGACGTATTCTTTTAATTTAAAAAAAAGTCTCTTATGCTGTTTTCTTATTGAAACACTGTCTGCGTGGATGACCGGAATTTGTATTCAGTGTCTGAAGCTAAAACTTGACAACATTTTAATAGCGTATAGCAAGAACATGCAGTAATTTAGTCTGTATAGAGAAGCGTACTTCAGGATTAAACTCGGTCTAAATAACAAAACTTGAGTGAAGATTTTTGTTGTTGTTGTTCAGCTACTGTACAGGATGTGTGCTGTACTAACCCCCAGTTAAGTATTCCTTATGTTTGTCTGAAATGGTAGGTTTGAGAGCTTTTTCAGCTCCTGACATCAGAAGTTTGGGTGGGTGTAAGCATATGTTAAAAGAATAATAGTTGGATAATTACTGTTTCCATTGGAAAGACTTTTTAGTGTTGATATAGTAGAATATTTGAACAATGAAGTCATGGAGAAGGGATACAGAGACAAGTAATTCCAAATTAAACTCAAGCAGGCATTGTTCTGAAGAGCAGGTGGGGAAGGGATTGAAATATTGCAGAATCTTCTCTTGAAGTAAGGTGACTTGAGTGACAGATAAATTATAGTGTATTATGGTGGAACATAGTTGATCACATAACGTGTTTACGGTATGCATTGTAAAGGTGTGACATTTTTTGTTGAATAAATAACTGTTTCCACAACGATGAACCAGGCTTCTCCTGTTCAGCACAAAGGCATCGACCTGTGGGAATCGGCTTCTTGGGGCCACTCTGAGTTACTGTAACGTGGGCCTTAAAGTTGTACCTGGTGCTCGCTCACACGTGCAGACATGCAGATCATTTCAGAGTATTTATAATTTGAGTATCAATATTGTGTTAACATACTGTTGATAAATTGATGATTGAAATACGTACTTCCTCCTGACAAAGCTCAGATGCTTTTTGGCGTTACGTTTTGTTCTCTGATAGGAAGGCTTAAATGTGATGATGTTGAATGTTTTTCTTTTTTAAAAAACTGATCTAAAACTGTTCCTGAAGCTCATGCAAATCAGCAATAATACATCAACATGTGTAAAACACTTAAAACCTGGTGATTTGTTTTGTCCTAGCTGTAGAATTGTCCTCACACACTTCTGCAGGAGAATAACTGCACCATACTACACATAATGTTTACTTACAGTTTTATTTGTTTCTCAACAAAGAATTATTATTACACAGTTCCGTATTAAGGCCTAAATTGTTATTTCTAGATTTCTGAGATAGACTTCCAAGATTCCATTCATGTTTTGGGATTCTCAGATGAATTGAACAAATTATTGCTCCAGCTGTACCTTGATAACAGGAAAGAGATCAGAAGCATTCTGAGTGAGCTGGCACCAAAGCTTCCCAGCTATCACAGTCTTGAATGGAGACTGGATGTGCAGGTAACTTCTGTTATGTTTTCAGTATTCTGTATTTTACCTTACATTTTTTTAACTTCATAAAAAACTACTAAACAATTTATATTATTTCAAAGTAATTGAGGCGGCAGTTTCTCATGTGTTTAAAACTGACATAATTTTGTTATTGCACCAAAGATAGCTCGTTATGAGATGAACAGGATATGTAATGATGCAAAGTGTTTGTTGCTTTATGAAAATTGAATTCATAGCTCCATTGGTGTGTTAAAAATGTTAGCTTATATAAAATATATTCAGTCTTAATTATCACCTAATTTTCAGAAATATTATGAAAGCATTGATTAAAGTGGATTAGTGTTGCCTAATGATAAAACTAAATCATAGATTGTGTATATCTTTAATGTGGATGAAAAGGATTTTTAAACAGCCCTGCAAGCAGGTCCTGCAAACTTGTTGTGAATTGTAAATATGAAAGTTGATAACCATCTTTTTGTTTGTTTCCCTATTCCCATTTCATCTAAACTCACTCATGCAGCTTGCAAGCAGAAGTTTGAGACAACAGATTAAGCCTGCCGTGACTATAAAGCTACATCTTAATCAGAATGAAGATCAAACTGCCCAAGTGTTGCAAACCGACCCTTCTACCCTCCTCCACCTAATTCAGCAACTGGAACAAGCATTGGGGGAAATGAAAACAAACCATTGCAGGAGAATAGTGCGCAACATGAAATAGTATTGATTCGTAGCCATTGTCTTACTAAGCAGTTTGTGAAACAACTAAAAACAATGTTCACAAATACATTTTGAGGGGAAAAAATAAACATCTGGATCAGATGAAATGCTTTCCTGTGCCAGGATCTTGAGCCAGTAATTATAGGCTGAATGTCTGTAGGTGCTAACTTTACACACCTGCCTGATACGAGATAGGTAATTGGTTTTGCTTTACTTGCAAATGTAGAAATTCAGCATGCTATGCTGAGAATTTCTTTAGCTCTAAATTAGTATAGTACTACTTGAAGATCTTTCCTACATTAAGTAGAGCTGTCACAATATTGTATGAAGCTGCACATTTATTTTTACATTTACCAAGTAGTTTTTTTCCCTGGGTCTTGCTTCTCTTTTGAAATTAAAAAAAAAAACCAAACCTGTACTGGTGGGAATGATACTTTACAGGAATGTTTTTTCCATCTAGACTCATGTATGCGTAAGAGTACCTGTGGGACTGCTGCCCTCTTCCTCCAAAAGATTCAGTCAACTCAGAGGCTGGGTGTTACACTGCTTTTCTACCCTTCTTATATAATGAAAGAAAGCATAATCAAGCTAATGCTTCCATTTTAACAAAGCTAGCTATAACCCCTACTAGGCAGTCTCATGCTTTCTGCGGGTAGCAGTTACCATAGAAAACCCAGTGGCCTAAACATAAGTTAGCATACTGGTTATTTCTAGATGTAAAAGTGATCTGAAAAATTGCAAAAATAAAACCATGGGCTAGGTGGCAGGTTAAGAATAGCGTTAACTTCTGCTAAATCTGATCTTCATGTTGTGATGCAACAATTTTTGTTCCCCCATTTGGATAGTGTGCTCATAAAGGAAGGACTAGCTAAGTATTGCAACATAAATGATGCTTTTCCATTTTTAAGAAAAATGTCTAACAAAGGTTATGTCAAAAGTCACTTTTCAATTGTATTCTAATGCAATATTTTGTAGCTTTTGTGACTAAGGTTAACTAGTTTTACTACTTAATGTTTTACTGTCACTAGTGAGGGTGCATCATAAAGCCCTTAAAGTACATCGGGGAGGACAAATAGACAAGAGAGAACCTTAACATACAGATTCTGGCAATAACTGTATATCTACTGTCTTTCATAGCAAAGCCATAAATTTATGTACTGGGTTCCTACATTCACAAATGCATTATTTTCTTACTGTTTTGAATTTTTTGTACCTTTGAGAGGTCCTATTTCAGATGAAACCTGCATGGCAGAAGTGCTTTAATCAATAACACTTACTACCACTTTAAGAAAGTCAGTTTTCTGGAATATGGAGTTGCTTATTCTCTAATTGCTTTATATAGTGTGGCAATGGTGTGAACAAACTTAATTTCCTCTCCCATATATTAGTCAGCAATGTGTTTCATTTACCATCCATATGTGGTGACTTTTTTCATAGAATTATAGAATCTTCTTCACATACAGTATGTTGTAATTAAATGTCATCAAATGTTACTGCATGGGATTTCTGATTAGTATTTTTTTATGTAACTGGCCTACATTTTCAGGTGAAATACAAGAACAGCCTCTATGTAGGCCAGTGTTTTCTCTTTATTCCATCTCTCCTCACTATAGCCATAGTCTAGAACTCATGGCAGCAAAATAGACATTTTAGATACAAGTCCTAGAAGCTTTTCGTGTCTCATCTCACTACTGCCCTATGAATCTGAACATATTTACCTTTCTGTCTCTTAAACTTTTTTAAAAAAGAAAACTAGCTGCTGTAGAGCTAGTTGGCACCGTGGTAAATGCTGGCAATTTACACGTGTGTCATGCCCTGAAGCATGTGCTAGAAGAGAAGGGGAGGGTTTTCCTCAGTTGTCATGAGTAAAATAGACAGTTCAAAGCAGGTTTCGTGAATACAGAATGTCATTAGAAAGCCTGCATGTTCCCTTTTTTTTGAAGCTTATTACAGTAGTGTAGAAGTAAAAACTGCGACACTGAATGGTCTTGTTTTCTCTAACAAAAAATGACCTGAATTGAGGATGGTCAAGGATAAACTTTGAAGCTAGGTGAAATTTAGAGAAACTCAAACTGGCAGTGATCCACGAACAGACTCAAGAAGAACAGTAAGGAGAAATACCCTTTACACCAAGCACGTTGCTTTTGAATTGTACCTTTCAGTTTCTTCGGAGAGAAGTACTGAGCCTGGAAAAGCAGCTTCTCAGCAGCTAGGGATTTTAGCTTAATTATTAGAAAGGTAGATTTGCCTTTATGTGAGGTTGGAATGGGTCTTTCTAC